GGAGTTAAGAAGACATTGAGTCACCTACGACAAAGATTTTACTGGATAGGTATGAGGCAAGATGTGGAAGAATGGTGCAGAACATGCAGTACATGTTGTGCTAGAAGAGGACCCAAGCATAAGGGACGTACTCCAATGAAGTTATATCAAGTTGGTGCACCAATGGAAAGAGTAGCTGTTGACATTGCTGGTCCTCTACCACAAACTCGTGCTGGAAACAAGTACATTTGTGTGGTGATGGATTATTTCACCAAGTGGCTTGAGGGATATGCAATACCAAATCAGGAAGCTACAACTGTAGCTTCAGCTATTAGTGATTTCTTCTTCAGATTTGGTATGTCATGCGAACTGCATTCAGATCAAGGCCGTAACTTCGAATCGGCTGTGTTCCAAGAATGCTGCAAGTTGTTTGGCATCCGAAAGACCAGGACAACGCCACTTCACCCACAGTCCGATGGGATGGTAGAAAAGTACAACTGGACACTGAGACAGGAATTGGCAAAGTTTTGTAATAAAGTGGAGGTAGTAAGACATCCCAGTCATCTTGGCGATATAAGCCATCAGCGGACAGCAGAGCATGAAGCCACTGGATACACTCCAGCAAAGTTGATGTTTGGTCGGGAACTTCGGTTGCCAGTGGATCTGTTAACAGGACGCCCATCTCATGAAGAGTTTCTTGAAAATGTGTCAGAGTTTGTGAAAGTGTTAACAGAAAGGATGAATGATATTCACCATCAAGTGCACTCAAACTTGAAAACGTCTGCTGATTCGATGAAGCTATCTTATGATAAGAGATCTACTGAAGTTAGCTTTGTACCAGGAGACAAGGTGTGGTTGTATAATCCCAGGAAGACCAAAGGGAAGTCTCCTAAGTTGTCTTCTCCATGGGAAGGCCCATATGACATAGTGGATCGTCTCTCAGACGTGACTTTCTGGATAAAATGTGGTCAGCGAGGTAAGCGAAAGGTGGTGCATGCCAACAGGCTTTGGTATTATCATGGTCCAGGACATTTCAGTTGGGATGAAGTGAACAATGGAACAAATGACGCTGCTGAAGACGCGTCACCTGAAAAAGCCACTGTCGAAGAAGAAACTCTACTCAGTTTTGAGAAGCGAAACAGTGAAGCCCTTGATGCAGTTACTACCACTGGTGTGACTGTTACCAATGATAGGACGTTTCCTGATGAAGCAGATGAACCCCACATGAGGCAGAAGCCAACGAGACAGAGACCAGTGCGGAAGAAGATACGTCCCGAAAAATTAAAAGACTTTGTTGAATTTTGATTTTGTGTTTGTAAATTCTGTACATTTAATTAAGTTATTGTTAATTGTTTATTAGTTTAATGTAAGTGGCTATTGTTCGGGACGAACAATACTAAGGAAGGGGCAGTGTTACGACAGTGGAGGTCACGTGACGAGTATTCTAGAAGATTTGCTAGTGTGTTACGACAGCGGGGTTACGTGACGAATATTCTTGAAGATTCGCTAGTGTGTTGCGACAGCGTTGCGTCAACTGACGCTGGTAGCACGTGTTGAGAGTCTTAGAAGTTTCTAGAACAGGCAGTATTATCGTATATAAGTGCGCTAGACAGTGAGAGAGAGAAAGGGAGTCGAAGCAATAGTGGAGACGAAGCAGGCAGAGAGAAAGAAAGACAGCGGTTACGGTCGGCGGGAACTGAGGATAGCAGACACAGAGATCGGAACTATAGTTGGCGGGGACGGACAATTAAGTCTAAGTGCGATAGAAAGTTAGTGAATTGTTGTGAACTATAGTGTGTGTAACTGTGAAAATTAAGTACATTACAAAGTTGTATTGAGGAAGAATAAACAAATTTTATAAAGAAAGGACTTGTATCGTAGAAGAATTAACAAACAAACATACAGAGACGTAACATAGTGCTTTTTTATATCTATGGGAATTAGTAACTCACTTCAGCACCGCTCTGAGTTCAACCAGGGAACTATGAAAAACAACATAGTTTTGAAAATTTTACTTTTCAAACTGGTAAGTTCTCGTGCTACAAGGATAAACTAGAAGAGGCAAAATAATTTCCACTCTGACAATATCATTATTTTCTGCTTAAAATAAAGTTGAAAAATGAAGATTATAGATCTACAGCGTACTTCAAGCTATTTAAATTTAGTGTTAGTACAATTTCCTTTATGTATTTCATTTTGTTTAAGTTTAGGTGCATGGACTCACTAATTGTAAGAAATGACAGGAAATAGTATATAGGTATTTGTCATAGAGAAAGTCACAAAATGGCGAGAAACTGTATAGAATCTGTACATTTATAGAATCTATAAAATCTATAGAAAAGTAAAATCAAAATAATAAACGAGTCCAATTACACGATTGGCGGTCAGAATTATCCATTAATGTCAAGCATAACCGTTTAACGCACACATATAAAATACTGTACCCAAACTAATCAATGTTTCTTAAGGTACAAGAAGCACACAAGATCACGTTCAAAAGTCTTTTTTTTTTTCGTTATAAGTTGTTGTTCACAAACCATTTTCCAAATTGAGAACGATCTGAACAAATGAAGTGGCGTGAACTAGATAATAAATGTAAGTTACAAAAAACAATAATTTCTTGCGATCAGTTTTGAATTTCACGCAAAGCCACTCGAAAACAGCTATCTGCGCTAGCTGTTCTTAATTTAATCAGTGACGGACTAGAGGGAAGGCAGTTAGTCAACACCATCCACCGTCAACTCTTGAGCTACTCTTTTACCAACAAATAGTGGGATTGACCCTCACAATATAACGCTCCCGCAGCTGAATAGGCGAGCTCGTTAGGTGACAGGGATTCGATCTCATGAACCGCAGATTTTGAGTCGAGCGCCCTAGTCATCAAACCATCCTAGGCCATCTCTTGTGACCATAGAGTATGAATATTTAGAACACTGTATCGATAGAATATGAATATTTAAGCTGAAGATTTTTCTTTTAATAAGAAGTTATACCAAAATCTAAGAATTCATTTTTAAATTGAGTACTTTTTGTTTCAATAAATTGCTTTCGAGTGATGCTTTTCTGTAATTAAGTTTTTCCAAGTTCTTTCATATGATACCTGTAATTCTTACAAAGTAGGCAATTTGCACTCTATACACCACGGGGAATCGAATCGAACCCAGGATTTTAGCGTTGTAAGTCCGTAAACTTAACGTTTACCCACTGGAGGACTTACCTGGGATATTTGAATAACGTTGAAATTTAGACGTCATGTATTTCACAGGTTAATTAGAATATTTTTGTTGAGAAGTTCGCATAAAGCTACACAAATGGCACATTCCCCCTGGTTAGCCCCCAGTTAACAGCTGGGTAGACTGGAACAAGTGGGGTAAAATGTCTTGTTCAAGGAGACATCAACATGATACAGGCCAGCCTTCAACTTGCAACCATCCGATAAGGCAAGGCGTCCAAAGCATGAAGCCACTGAACCATGCTGCTCCGTATCTGAGTGTAGCCGTTCAATATTTTGAAATGATGCATTGAACAGAAGGAAGCTAGTCAACAGCATCCACCGCAATTTCTTGGGTTGCTCTTATTATACCAAATAGTGATCTTTAACTATCACACTTATAACGCACATACGGCCCGGAAGTTCCAAGGATTTGCAGTAACGGGCAGCAAACATTGAATTATTAGATTCAGAATCAGGTTACTTGAAGTACTTGGCTCACTTAATGAAAACTTATCAGTTATCTGCAACACGTCTACCTTTTTTTTTTTGTTATTTAGATAAGGTTGATTGCATTTATATCAATCTATGACTAATAAAACAAACACCACGAAAGTATGATTTGTTTGTTTATTGTTGAACTACTTTTTCATTTGGATTAATGTTCATTATACTTATAGTTCATGACATATTTGATTGAAATTATGTTTCATAACCCAAAAAAACGGCTTTTCTAATCTTTTTTATTGTTTGTAAAGTTAAACAAATGCACATGAAGCTGACTTGCATAAAATTAATTACAAAGATATGCTTCAAAAATTTGTTCATACATTTATCAGAAAAAGAATAAAACAACTTTACACCAACGTATTACAGATAAAACAATATATATGCTTTAATACTTTTGTGTGCACATTTTATCTCTTCGAAAAGCAAATGCTTCATTCAAGTTGGCAGTGAAATAGACAAAAAAAAATGTTTTTGCTTTTTAAAGGTTACTTCGATTGGTCATCTCAGGGCTTAAAACTAGCAGGTCGTATTTTCATTTCACTTATCTTCAATGAGTATTCATGTCCTCTCCACTGATACCAGTTAACGCCAGAACCCTTCTTCTCATTTGCTCCTCGAAGGTAGAGACCATTTAGGTTGGAGTGATGACAGGCGTTATACCACCACCCACCTTTGTAGAAATCCGCACAGTTCTTGCCCCACTTATCATTGTCGTTATCTGTGGTGCTAAACGGCATGTTTTTGTGTTCTGTAAGTGAGTCACCTGAATCGAGTTTCAAAAATAAAATATTATATTAGCAAAAAAAGGAGAAGATGAACAAAAACATGAATAAAGATATCCCCAGTTTAAGAATAAGAAGAAATATAGCCTCTGATTAAGAACAAGAAGAAATATAGCCTCTGATTAAGAACAAGAAGAAACATAGCCTTTGATTAAGAACAAGAAGAAACATAGCCTTTGATTAAGAACAAGAAGAAACATGGCTCCTGGTTTGAAACAAGAAGAAATATGGCCCCTGGTTTGAAACAAGAAGAAATATAGCCTCTGATTAAGAACAAGAAGAAACACAGCCTCTGGTTAAGAACAAGAAGAAACATGGCCCCTGGTTTGAAACAAGAAGAAATATAGCTTCTCATTAAGAACAAAAAGAAACATAGTCTCTGGTTAAGAACAAGAAGAAATATAAAACAGTTTGGTTGTTAAGAATTTCGCGCAAAGCTACACGAGGACTATATACGCTAGACGTCCCTAATTTACCACACACAAGCTAACTCTTGGTTTTACCAACGAGCAAAATGATTGATACATTATAACGCCCCCACGGCTGAAAAGGGTAAACATGTTTGATGTGACGGGGATTCGAATCCGCGTTCCGCAGATTACGAGTCGAGCGTCCTAACCACATGGCCATGCCGGGCCGGTTAAGAACAGAAACAAGAAGAAATATAACTTCAGGTTAATATGCTTATTCCTGCTGTGACCTCTGTACATAAAATTATATGGGAGTCAAAGTCTGGTCACCCAGAATACGAATGTGTTTGTTAAGATTTCTTATCAGCCCTTACACGATTAGTCTCTTCCTGATGACATTTGATGATACACTGTTCCATCAAATTTGGTCTAAATCCTTGAAGTAATTTTAGTTTTGTAAAAACCCGTTCATACCCATTTACACCTACCCAACCTCCCTCTCACTTATAATACACCCTGTCAATCGGCGCTTGGAGAAACACAATTTACTTTTAATGCACTTGGTCATGGGTAGAGAAAAATATGCCTGTGTATTAGTGTGATTTGTGTCAACGGTTTTGTGTTTTTTTAACACGAAGCTATAAGCAATTCACTTTTAGATTTTACTTACATAATCGTAGTAAATGAATATGCGCCTTTGATAAATGTTAGAAAAACACAGGTAAAGACTGTCACATAAGCAAATAAAGTTGACATGAAACTTACCTGTCACCCTTGTACGCCTTGAAAGTGCAGAATAATGTTGACATGAAACTTACCTGCGTCACCCTTGTACGTTTTGAAACTCATTCTGTACAGTTCCCTCTCGCTTTTTACCAAGAATTCATCAGCTTCTGCATATCTTTTGCCACCTTCAAAATCTTCAAGGTCAATACGAAGTACCATGCTGTCTTGATTTGTCAAAGCAAATATGACGTCATTTCCTAATGATTGGAGTGAATAATGCCATTTTATCGTTGCTGGTGTATACACAATGCCACATAAGCTGAAAAATGACTGAACGGTTTATTATTTGTGTAAAAATCTGAAGACAACTGGCCTTATGGTAGCCGAAAGCTTGCTACAAAAATAGTGTAGGAGAAAACTGTTCGAAATAACATATCAAAAACAAGCACTTCGGAAACAAAAATCATTAGAAGTAATTAAATTAAGTGTTACCTAGCCAAAATTCTCTGGACAAATTTCCAAAACCACTCTTGTAACTCGCCCATGTCCTAAAAAAATTTTCAACAGGTTTACCAAAGTCTCCTCTCCTTTGAAGAAGCTAAACAGAATGAGAAAAGGTATAATGCTGTGAACTACTATAGAAAGGTCTTGTATTTTTGAAAAATCAGGTTATTTTTTGTTGATTTGTTTCTAATGATATTAATTGACGGCTACAATAACGTGATAATGAATCGAATAACAGTGAATAAAAGTTAACTCATTTTTACCGTTTATCAAAATCCTGTTTTTACAATAAATGATTTATGTCTAATCTATTGGCATCGCGTAAAGATTCTTTTTTGTGACAAAGAATATTTCATACTTTGTTTCCTAGTCTGCAAACACGTGGTAATTCAATACCTCAAGAACAAAATAAACACCAGAAACCTACGGCCGAAAGTATTGCTTTCAGCGAGAGGACCGAAATGAAGTAACAATGCATTGTAATCGGAGCGCGACTGCCTTTTGAAAGAAAGGGAGACTACGTTTTAACTTGTATACTGGGGATTTTTTATTCAAGACTTGAAGCCTTCTATGCTTATTCTGCCTAAATTTCCACCAAAACAGTGCACTCTAATTATTATAAGTAATATAGTTTGAACATTATATTTAATTATATATCCTCATCACTAAATATGTATTTTTAGTTCTGGTCTATGTGGGTAGCTTGCTTTGATCAGAAATATGTATTGTTGTTTTATTTTGTTTTGAAAACAAAAACAAAAACAAAAACGTTTTTTTCTACTTCTATAATGCTATCGTAGTTAAACTTAAAAATCAGTTAGTAATTTTTATTTATTTTGGGAGTTGATTTCAAAGATTTACAGTTATCTTTAGAAGTAAACATGCAACTAAGGCTTTTAGTTTTATCTATGTTGGTAGTTATTATTAGTGCTTGAGTTTTGAATTAAATTTAATAGTACTACGACAAGCACTTGCTCTACTCCTACCGTCCATCCTCCACCTGCAGTCTCCATATCACAGAAAACAGAAATAGGATGGTTCAAAAACTGTGGCCAAATTTCGTAGATTCCGCTGGTTTGGTTTCCTTGCTTATAGATAGTGGAACAGTCTATTGGTAGAGAAGTTTCTTCTTTTGTTATCTTGCTGGAGAAATGTGTAGTCTTGCAAAACAAGTCATGGTTGGAGCAAATAGGAGCTGGTTTAATATAAATAATTACAAATAGTCATATCAAGGTGTTAATAAATTATTTAGAAACAAGCGTAAGTCAAAATATGTTTAATTGATCTCTTCAAGATTAATAGAAAAAACAAACATTAAGTGATTCACACAGAAGCAATTTTCAAATACATGCATTACCTTCTAAAATAGAAATTTTTTGTTTAGCGATTTCTGTTAGTTCAGTCACAGTGGATGACAGAGATTCGATAACTCCCTCTAATGAGCCAATAGTACTACAAGCTGTGTGGGAATGGTAAGTCGCCTGACTCAGCAAGAAGATGTTTAAAATATATAATATCTGCAATGGATTATACATGATGAAATGTGTGGGTAAGTACACTAATCCAGTATGTTCCGCTCTAAAGACACGAGTCTTGTACCATGTGTTTTAGTAATGTCTTAAACAGGAAACAGGATATCCGACAAATGTTTATTACTCTCCAGTATCTTAAAAACAATCTTTGATGTTTCTAATTTCAAGATCGAGATGTAGTCACTGTTTTGTCAATAAGAAATTAGCCAGTACTTCAACATCAAGTCGTTTAAGTTCGCTGTCTCAATGTGATAAATGTATCACAAATAAACTGTTTTTAAGTCTATTACTAGTCACTTTATATATATATTTACGCTACTAATATTTCGTATAGTTCTCTATAATAAACAATCCAAATAACTGTTCAATATTGTTTAATACTGTTACGCCTCCAGTCGTTAGTTAATTTTCCGCAAATTCGTTCCGACGAAACTTTAGCGACACAAGTCCTTTCTTAAATAAAACTGGTTTATTCTTTCCGAATACAACTTTACGATACACTTAATTTCAACAGTCGCGCTATAACAAACGCTTCAACAATACTCTCTGACTGTAGTTCAATTACTCATTACCTACACACACTGTCACGCCGTGACCATCTTATATATACCAGACCACCCCAATCTAGTAAATGTTAGAGCACTCCCGAAGGAACAGGATAGTTCTAGAAAACGGTTGGTGTGATACTAGTCACGTGACCTCGCTGACGCAACAATACACTATACATGGTGGCTACCTAAAGCAGTGGGCTCAAGTGAAGATCCGTAATAGTGTGTATCTGTAACCGAGTTTTATGTGGAAGCCATTTTTATCCCACGATCATGGAAACTAATTTTCCAACAGCTAATGATGAAAATAGCGAGCACGAAATATACGAAAATAAATAAGAAAATTCTTAATTACACACACTTCTCAAGTATTCTTGGTCAGAAGTCTTAGCGAGAAAATGGAATGCTAACTGTTAGTTTCATCTAGAGGCCAACCTTGCCATGTCCTGCAATCGCCAAGAGAAGTAGCCGCTCTTTAAGCAGGTGGCATGGGCTGCATTTACATTCACTTTTAACCAAACCCCCACATTCTACGTTTATTTTAGAGGTCATTCAGGTCACTCTCAGATCTCCACATTTCATGACAAGTGTGTGTTCTGCAAGAAAGAAACTCCCTTAACAACTAAGCTCAGCCTGACGTCACTCTTAGGCAGACGAAAACAGATAGAATTTATAATATTCTGTTCTACTTTTTCACAAAATCATAAACTTGTCTTACTCATGCACGTTTAGTCTAAGAAAATCAAGAAACTGTATAGGGTCTGCTATACAAAAAAGGCGACATGTCTATACTGTCGTGTTTCCTTACAACACTTTTTCAATTTCGTGGTTTTCTTTGTAAAATTACTTTACTTAGAAATGTTACCAACACAAACAGTCACAAAGAGTAACTTCACAGAGTAAAAGCACAAAACTATATTAGAGTAGTAAATTTCCAATAACATCAAAAACCACAAAGATTTTCGGTATCGGGATATCATACAGAAGAGGTAAATAAGAAAGCTTATATAAATAAGCTATAAATCACGGCGATTCACAATCTCGATAACTTTGTTCTCTACGAGTGCAAAACACACACTAGCTCGAAACAGAATCGTAAATTACCCGAAACTCACTGTAACTATTGTTTGCTTTATTATCCTCTGGCTTTTCTCTGCCAGGCTTATATACTAACGAAGAGGCATCTCCAAAATTCGCTGACTTCCCCGATAATTCAAGAAACTCAGTCACGCATGCACCAGCAGCGTCACGTGACTTCTGCTGTCGTAACAATTGTTTGTTTAGTGTTTTATGACGCAAAGCAACTAGTCTATCTGCGCCAAACAACCTTTCAAAACAGTTAAAGTAAATTGTAGTACAATGTAAAAATAAATTGAGTTAAAACTATGTCGAAATAACAGATAAAATAATTAAATAGCATTAAAAAGGCCAATTGTTCTTAAAAAATTAAAAATGCAATCAAATTGGACAGTGTCACCATCGCCAATGACACTGTCCAACGTCAGGGGTAAACTCTAAAATGGTGCCGCTGCTCACGGTCATAACGACGGCACGACAGTGAAATGTGGGCTTTTGTGACTCGAGTATCACAGAGGCTTCACATCCGTAGGCCAGTACTAAATAAAAGAAAACGATAAGTTAAAAACTGTGACCAATGCGTAACCTTGCCAGGACAACTTCCTCCTTCCGATCCTTAGTGAAACAAACAGCCAAAGAGCAACAGAAGATTTGATCTGAAAAAGCTTATTATGACGTTGCTCACCTCGAGTCGACTGCCAACTGGCACAAAGCCACGCCTTGAAGACAGGACCATAGTCCATGTATGGGACAGGCACGGCCGTGACGGCGCCAAAGCAGACGGACTTATATGCGGTGTCAGAGGTGTTAATTGGATTAGATTAGTAAATACTTTTAGTGTAAGTTATTTTGTATTAATGGTTTTTTAACTGATATTTTTCCTATTGAATGTTCAGTCAGACAAGGATGTAGTCTTTCAATGTTAGTATATGTTCTTGCTATTGAATCAGCACTATATAAAATACGTAATGACGAAAACATTCTTGGTATACCAATTCCTGGTAATTCTACTAATCAAACAAAAATTCTTGCTTATGCCGATGATTTTGTCGTGGTAAGTCTATTGTTAACAGGTCTTTTTTTTTTACTATGGGGATCATTTTGTTTACTATCTGCCAGTATTCTAAATACGACAAAAACATTTGATGTTACTTTTAATTGAGGGGAAAACAATATTTATCCTATTAAATGGATCACTGTGGACTTTAAATTTTTGGCGTAACTTTTAATACTAGTACTAATGTATACAACTTTGATTGGAATCCCATATTAACCAAATTTGGCAATATCTTTAGAGCATGTACATATCATGATCTCTCATTTTATGGTCGAGCAGTCATTCATAAAGTGCTAGCATGCAGTAAGTTTTGGTATCTCTTTACTTTTATACCCTGTTCAGTGACATGTCAAACATTGTTTGTTTCAAGGAGTTTTGAATTTATTTGGAAGTTTAAAAGATCGACAGTTGCAAGAAAAATTTTATATAATGATATTAAAGAAGGGGGGTATTTCTGTCATGAGTATTATGATTAAATATAAATTCTTTCCTGTTAAACATGTCTTCAATTTTCTTAGCCATCGTGAATGCTCGTGGTTTCCTTATGCTCGTTATTGGATGGGATTAAATCTACTCTCATATAATTATTCATTCAGCCCGAACTTACTCTCACGTAACCCTTGGAGTATTCCTCCTTTTTATATTGAAGCTGTTCACCTATTTAAAGAATTTATTAAAGAATAAAGTGAAAAATATTAAGTTGTTTATTAAACAACATGAACAATTTTAAAGGCAAATTAAATTAAAAGCACGACCGAAAATTTTAACACATATTAACACTAATAGGCGAAATCAAGAAGTGAAGATGGGAATCCCCATCCTATTGTCTCCTGCTGGAGAGTTCCCGTCAATGTGGTTTTGGAAAGCAGCTGGACCAGTCGAGATATATTATAACTGGCAGGAAACCCCTTCCTACTGTCTCCTGCTGGAGAGTTCCCAAAATATCTGGTTTTGGAAAGTTAATATTTTCTTTAAATGAAAATATATTTGCGATAGATACTCACCACTTAACACAAAGAAGTTATATTCCACCTAATTTCTTACCTAAACTCACGAGAAATCTCGTGAGTTGCATTACTCGATAATGACATTATTGTACAGCAAAATCCCTCCACCAATAGGATAGTGACACCACCTCCTTGTGTACTGGCTCCTTCTATACTGATGCACTCATGAAACTTCATTGTTGACGAGGCAAGAAGTCGTAAGTACCCAGAAGAAAGCA